TGGAACTCTTCTCGAAAAGCACCAGCAGGAGAACGGTGGTAAGTCTCCTCAGTAGCTTCCCGTATAAATCCCCGTGCCCTCACTTTCAATCCTCAATACTGGACCTCCCAATATTATTCGCAAACCATTCCCAGTTCAATGCAACCAAATAACGTCATCTCCCGTTCCACCTGTTCCACGAACCACGTCGGCCAAAGTGTCACCTGCGAATAGTCAGAATGATGACACTCCACATGGTATGAAGAAAGCTGCCGAACTTGCTCACGATCCTATTACCGAATACCCCAGTACCGACGAAGAGCGGGAAACAGAGGAAAAAGAAGACACCAAGCTCCCAGCGGAAGTGAGCCAACCCTCCACTTAACACATACTATCACACTAAACTTTTACAATCTCACATAAACCACGTTGACTTCAAAATTGCAAAACCTAAACCCTAAATATAAGCCACATGATTCATTCGATTCTATTCACCATTATCCTGTATTAGTAGACAAGTAAAACTACTACTGGAAACGGAGACGACCCAGAGGGCATATGAATGAAGTAAAGGCTTGAGGTACAACATGGACCGCGGGCATGTATGTAAGGCTTGGCTGAGACACCGAATTGCCCGATTGCTTCCTGGTCGACGGAGGCTCACGAGAAATCTGTCTAGCGTTGGCCATTCCAGACACGAACGGTACATCGCGGCAATCGTAAGTCGGTGCAGAAACAGCAAGAGGATAGCGTCTGCATATGGTACAAGTAGACGTTTGCCACCATTGCCTTGAACCCAGCATGGTCGGAGCATTCCCTTCACTCACATCAGTCATGCCCAACGCGAGAACAGAGGGTGATTTTTGACGACATGAATTAATGAACCTTCCGCTGCGGATCCGAACCAAGCCGTATGGTGCCGTGCGTACATTTCGTTCGCACTCAAAGAACCATTACCAGCAAAAAGTTCTTTTGAGACGCAAGAAATGTGTTAATGACGGTGGTTGTGAAAAACAAAACTGCTTTGGGTCGGAGGGAACTCCTTAGCACTTCCGTTGTCGCCGAGCGAAGCAGATGCAACAAGATCCTGATCCAGTTTCACTGAAGCATCCCTCCGTATCTTTCGATGATCGGCAATCAGCCAAGGAGAGCACCTGCTTCATTCAGACTCGACTCATACTTCTTGACTACACCAATCACCAATCATCAAACACCAACATCATCATCATGTCTAGTACATCTACATTTACTACTCGCTCTTATGACGAGGACTGCATGAAAGCCGCCATTGCACAGAGCCAAGTGGCCGTGGAGGAGGGTTGCATGCCCTTTGGAGCGGTCCTCGTGGATGACGCTGGGAATATCTTGGCCGCCGCGCACAATTGTAGTGCCGCCAGCAGCAAACGTGGTGGCAAGGGCGATGTCACGAGACATGCCGAAGTGGAATTGGTTCGCAAGATGGGTGCTTTGGATAATATTGACGGTAAAGACAAGACCAAGTGTACCATTTATGCTTCGACCGAACCCTGTGTCATGTGTGCCGGTGCCATTTATTGGAGTGGAGTCAGCCGTGTGGTCTACGGATGTTCCTCGGAGGAACTGGAACAAACCTTGTCAGGTCCCGGTGGCTTTGATATCCCCGTCGAACGTCTCTACCAAATGGGACGACCAGGAATGCGAAAAATGAACATTGTGGGACCTCTCTTGGCCAAAGAAGCCATGGATGTTCACAGAGCATCCGGTGTCTGGTGTAAACCAATAACCACCAACAACGACAATGGCAAACACACCAATCAAGATATTGAAACCGAACGGTCCCTCTTGCAAAGTGGATTAGGAGCCGCCCCGGCCACTCGGGATTTCCAAGTGCCAGTGATTTCCATGAGCACTCAAGACGACGACGACGACGAAACAATACTAGCCAACCAGCTATGGGATGCCGCACGTACGGTGGGATTCTTCACCGTGGTCGACCATGGCATTCCACTCGAACTCATTCAACAAGCATTTGCCGTGTCGGCCGACTTTTTTTCCAATCAGACACGGGAGGAAAAAGAAGAACAATCCCCATTTGCCAAGGAGTTGAATTCCGGATACGAATATTTTACACAAGTACGACCATCCACGGGCACGGCGGATCAAAAGGAAAGCCTGCAAGTGACGGCACGTCAAGGTGTCATGGAGGGTCGTTGGCCTCCGGAAAAGTTTCAAGATACGGCCACGCAACTCTTGGAACACGCCCACAAATTGGCCAATCGAATCTTGACGTTGCTCGAGAAGGATGCCTGTCCTCTCAACGAGGCGGGAACTTTGGCCAAGTCACATACGCTGTGGGCACCCGATGGACAGTGCACCCTTCGATTCTTGCATTATCCTCCCATGGAACCAGAAACGGCCAAGCAGCTCACAACACCGGATGAACAGGGAAAGATCCATTGGAGAGCTGGACCTCACACCGATTGGTAAGAGATCTCTCGAGTTGATGCCTGTTTCTCAGTGGGGATTCAATTGATTCGATTCACGTCTTGTTCTCATCATCTCTTTGTTGCTCGATCGTGTCAACTCACTCACGACACTATATAATATACAATCATCAATGTCATCATCGTTTGCAATCGATCATGCAGGGACAATGTCACTCTTCTCTTTCAGCAACCTGGTCAAGCTGGATTGGAATGTTGCTCCAATCCTCATGACACTACAAAGGGAGAGCGACGCTGGACTCCAATTGACCCCGTCGAAGGTGGGATTGCCATCAATATTGGTGACATGTTGGCACGATGGTCCGATGGACGCCTCTACAGCAATTTGCATCGAGTCCGAATGCCAACCGTAGAAGAATGCACACCACCATCCTCCCGGTACTCGATTGCCTACTTTGCTCAGTCGGACAAGGCCACTGTGATCAGGTCCAAGGAAGGAGAGGACCCAATCACGGCTGGGGACTACATTCTGTCTCGAATTCGCAGCAATTTCGAATCTTAGCTGGTTGGCTAGAGGTTTGAAAGTTGGCAAGTAATCTCTCCCTGTTTAGTCATTAGCTCCTCTTAAAAAGTGGCTGTAGTCATTCTGGAATGGATCTCTGTTCCGGTACTGGTACCGTACGATGGGTAGCTTAGCAACGTTCGGTCATCCGGTTTGGGGCATGATGCCTTCAGCACAGGCAGAAGTATGCCAAGCGCTACCAGTAGGGGTCATCATAACACGTACTGCTTTTGGCTGGCCACTCGCAACTCTTCGAAACGGCAACATCTGATTCTAGAATTCGACATCTACTTTGAACACGTGTTTTAAAGCTGCCTGTTCACAGAGGAGCCAAGTATTGACCGACAAGGGACCAGAAGATAAACAAGGCGAAGACTGAAGGCTGAACAAGAGCCAAAGAGAAGAACGAGGACAAACAAACCAAGAGCAAGAAAGACGACCGACAAGGTACCAGAAGACAGATCCTTGGTGTGCCCAATTCAAAAGGACCAGCGGCAGACAAAGCAACCAGCAAGTTTTGAGCCCAACCAGTCCAAGAGAGGAGGAAGAGCCCTGGAAGCAACGCTTCGGCAAGAGAGAAGTGCGAGACTTTAGCTATCTAAGAGTGAACGAGGAGCTCGACGCCCAACCAGCCTGGGACAAGGGCGCAGGCAACCAAGCAACCAAGGAGAGATAGCAGGATTAGATTACGTATCAGGACTAGGCAAGAGATCCGTCCGCAAAAGTGTAGTACTAGGACTTGCAAGGGCACCAGCGTCGCTTTGTTGCTGAAAAGTGGCTGGCTACTTAGTTTGGAGGAAAGGAAGAGCCACCGCAACAAGGAACCGCCGCCTTGAGACTCAGTGTGACCAAGTCTGTTCTGGGGGTCGGGAGCAGCTCCAGCAACTGTCTTGGAGGCCACAAGCTCAGAAAGATCGAAGGAGGAGGGGTTGGCTCTGGTGTTGGGCCAGGAGTTGGTTGGACCGTGCCTGAAGCTGAGTTGAAACGAAGTCCAAAGGAGAAGCGAGGACCTTTGCAAACCTAAGCAAGATCAAGGCAAGACAAGGCGAGATGCATGAAGTTGTTGACTGTTGTTGCTGCTGCAGCCAACTCACTGCTGCTCCACGTGTGCCACTTGCAAGAGTAAGGTGGTGCTCTTGGACTCGAAGAAGGTGCCGGAAGGCTCTTGGACTCAAAGAAGGTGGTTTTGGTTCTACTACACCACCGAAAGGAACCAACCAAGAAAACAAGGAGAGACCGTCCACAGCACGTGCAGGTGTCAACGTGGGAGTGCCAAAAAGTTGTTGGGACTGGGCAGTGTAACTGGAGATGCAAGCTTGGAAAGTCGAGAAGCTCGTGTCATTTGTGGCGGCTTGTGGACTTGAGAAAGTCAGTGGAGGACTCGCAGTGGCCTTGTCTTCCTCCTTGAGAAGGAGAAGCAAGCACCTGAAGACCCACCGGAAACCAAAGGTAGAATTGTGTGCGAGATCCTTGCCTCCGACCAACCAACAGGAAAAGGAAGAGTCACCCCAACGAGGAATGGTTTGGTTGGTTTGGATGGCTGCGTTGTGTGTAGACTAATGTTGGCTAAATAAGAAAAGGCAGAATGGAACAGAAAGAGGTTAGACTTGAGCTGAGAACAAAACAAAAGCAAGACGTATTGCATGCATGCATGCACTTTGGTTCAGCGAAGTGAAGAAGGATAGGCTTTGTAAAGTTTCCACCCCCTCCACTTCCAACGACGTTTATGTTGACTCGCAAGGAGCAAAGAATTACTAATGTCATGCATGCATGCTGTTCGCTAGCGGACCGTACCTGTTCGTTTTTGATGAAGTTGTTGACTGTTGTTGCTGCTGCAGCCAACTCACTGCTGCTCACGTGTGCCACTTGCAAGAGTAAGGTGGTGCTCTTGGACTCGAAGAAGGTGCCGGAAGGCTCTTGGACTCAAGAAGGTGGTTTTGGTTCTACTACACCACCGAAAGGAACCAACCAAGAGAACAAGGAGAGACCGTCCACAGCACGTGCAGGTGTCAACGTGGGAGTGCCAGAAAGTTGCTCGGACTGGGCAGTGTAACTGGAGATGCAAGCTTGGAAAGTCGAGACGCTCGTGTCATTTGTGGCGGCTTGTGGACTTGAGAAAGTCAGTGGAGGACTCGCAGTGGCCTTGTCTTCCTCCTTGAGAAGGAGAAGCCAAGCACCTGAAGACCCACCGGAAACCAAAGGTAGAATTGTGTGCGAGATCCTTGCCTCCGACCAACCAACAGGAAAAGGAAGAGTCACCCCAACGAGGAATGGTTTGGTTGGTTTGGATGGCTGCGTTGTGTGTAGACTAATGTTGGCTAAATAAGAAAAGGCAGAATGGAACAAGAAAGAGGTTAGACTTGAGCTGAGAACAAAACAAAAGCAAGACATATTGCATGCATGCATGCCACTTTGGTTCAGCGAAGTGAAGAAGGATAGGCTTTGTAAAGTTTCCACCCCCTCCACTTCCAACGACGTTTATGTTGACTCGCAAGGAGCAAAGAATACTAATGTCATGCATGCATGCTGTTCGCTAGCGGACCGTACCTGTTCGTTTTTGATGAAGTTGTTGACTGTTTTGCTGCTGCAGCCAACTCACTGCTGCTCCACGTTGCCACTTGCAAGAGTAAGGTGGTGCTCTTGGACTCGAAGAAGGTGCCGGAAGGCTCTTGGACTCAAGAAGGTGGTTTTGGTTCTACTACACCACCGAAAGGAACCAACCAAGAGAACAAGGAGAGACCGTCCACAGCACGTGCAGGTGTCAACGTGGGAGTTCCAAAAGTTGCTCGGACTGGGCAGTGTAACTGGAGATGCAAGCTTGGAAAGTCGAGAACGCTTTCGTGTCATTTGTGGCGGCTTGTGGACTTGAGAAAGTCAGTGGAGGACTCGCAGTGGCCTTGTCTTCCTCCTTGAGAAGGAGAAGCCAAGCACCTGAAGACCCACCGGAAACCAAAGGTAGAATTGTGTGCGAAATCCTTGCCTCCGACCAACCAACAGGAAAAGGAAGAGTCACCCCAACGGGGAATGGTTTGGTTGGTTTGGATGGCTGTGATGTGTGTAGACTAATGTTGGCTAAATAAGAAAAGGCAGAATGGAACAAGAAAGAGGTTAGACTTGAGCTGAGAACAAAACAAAAGCAAGACGTATTGCATGCATGCATGCCACTTTGGTTCAGCGAAGTCAAGAGGGATAGGCTTCAAAAAGTTTCCACCCCCTCCACTTCCAACGACGTTTATGTTGACTCGCAAGGAGCAAAGAACTACTATTGTCATGCATGCATGCCGTTCGGTAGCGGACCGTACCTGTTCGTTTTTGATGAAGTTGTTGACTGTTGTTGCTGCTGCAGCCAACTCACTGCTGCTCCACGTGTGCCACTTGCAAGAGTAAGGTGGTGCTCTTGGACTCGAAGAAGGTGCCGGAAGGCTCTTGGACTCGAAGAAGGTGGTTTTGGTTCTACTACACCACCGAAAGGAACCAACCAAGAGAACAAGGAGAGACCGTCCACAGCATGTGCAGGTGTCAACGTGGGAGTGGCAAAAAGTTGTTGGGACTGGGCAGTGTAACTGGAGATGCAAGCTTGGAAAGTCGAGACGCTCGTGTCATTTGTGGCGGCTTGTGGACTTGAGAAAGTCGGTGGAGGACTCGCAGTGGCCTTGTCTTCCTCCTTGAGAAGGAGAAGCCAAGCACCTGAAGACCCACCGGAAACCAAAGGTAGAATTGTGTGCGAGATCCTTGCCTCCGACCAACCAACAGGAAAAGGAAGAGTCACCCCAACGAGGAATGGTTTGGTTGGTTTGGATGGCTGCGTTGTGTGTAGACTAATGTTGGCTAAATAAGAAAAGGCAGAATGGAACAAGAAAGAGGTTAGACTTGAACTGAGAACCAAACAAAAGTAAGACATATTGCATGCATGCATGCCACTTTGGTTCAGTGAAGTGAAGAAGGATAGGCTTTGTAAAGTTTCCACCCCCTCCACTTCCAACGCCGTTTATGTTGACTCGCAAGGAGCAAAGAATTACTAATGTCATGCATGCATGCCGTTCGCTAGCGGACCGTACCTGTTCGTTTTTGATGAAGTTGTTGACTGTTGTTGCCGCTGCAGCCAACTCACTGCTGCTCCACGTGTGCCACTTGCAAGAGTAAGGTGGTGCTCTTGGACTCGAAGAAGGTGCCGGAAGGCTCTTGGACTCGAAGAAGGTGGTTTTGGTTCTACTACACCACCGAAAGGAACCAACCAAGAGAACAAGGAGAGACCGTCCACAACACGTGCAGGTGTCAACGTGGGAGTTCCCAAAAGTTGCTCGGACTGGGCAGTGTAACTGGAGATGCAAGCTTGGAAAGTCGAGACGCTCGTGTCATTTGTGGCGGCTTGTGGACTTGAGAAAGTCGGCGGAGGACTCGCAGTGGCCTTGTCTTCCTCCTTGAGAAGGAGAAGCCAAGCACCTGAAGACCACCGGAAACCAAAGGTAGAATTGTGTGCGAGATCCTTGCCTCCGACCAACCAACAGGAAAAGGAAGAGTCACCCCAACGAGGAATGGTTTGGTTGGTTTGGATGGCTGCGATGTGTGTAGACTAATGTTGGCTAAATAAGAAAAGGCAGAATGGAACAAGAAAGAGGTTAGACTTGAACTGAGAACCAAACAAAAGTAAGACATATTGCATGCATGCATGCCACTTTGGTTCAGCGAAGTGAAGAAGGATAGGCTTTGTAAAGTTTCCACCCCCTCCACTTCCAACGACGTTTATGTTGACTCGCAAGGAGCAAAGAATTACTAATGTCATGCATGCATGCCGTTCGCTAGCGGACCGTACCTGTTCGTTTTTGATGAAGTTGTTGACTGTTGTTGCTGCTGCAGCCAACTCACTGCTGCTCCACGTGTGCCACTTGCAAGAGTAAGGTGGTGCTCTTGGACTCGAAAAAGGTGCCGGAAGGCTCTTGGACTCAAAGAAGGTGGTTTTGGTTCTACTACACCACCGAAAGGAACCAACCAAGAGAACAAGGAGAGACCGTCCACAGCACGTGCAGGTGTCAATGTGGGAGTGCCAAAAAGTTGTTGGGACTGGGCAGTGTAACTGGAGATGCAAGCTTGGAAAGTCGAGACGCTCGTGTCATTTGTGGCGGCTTGTGGACTTGAGAAAGTCGGTGGAGGACTCGCAGTGGCCTTGTCTTCCTCCTTGAGAAGGAGAAGCCAAGCACCTGAAGACCCACCGGAAACCAAAGGTAGAATTGTGTGCGAGATCCTTGCCTCCGACCAACCAACAGGAAAAGGAAGAGTCACCCCAACGGGGAATGGTTTGGTTGGTTTGGTTGGCTGCGTTGTGTGTAGACTAATGTTGGCTAAGTAAGAAAAGGCAGAATGGAACAAGAAAGAGGTTAGACTTGAGCTGAGAACAAAACAAAAGCAAGACGTATTGCATGCATGCATGCCACTTTGGTTCAGCGAAGTCAAGAGGGATAGGCTTCAAAAAGTTTCCACCCCCTCCACTTCCAACGACGTTTATGTTGACTCGCAAGGAGCAAAGAACTACTAATGTCATGCATGCATGCCGTTCGCTCGCGGACCGTACCTGTTTGTTGTTGGACCGCTGACATGCCGGGCAACAGGAAGAAGACGAGGACAAACCAACCATGGTGGGAGAGCTAGCACTGGCTGTGATATCAGACTTTCTTTCTCATTGTAAAGCGACACTGTTTCTTTTGTCTAAGAAACGGCAGAATGGAAATCAATGGTTGCTTGGCCCAAGTGAGGAACTGACCGTTGCCTTGCTCGAGGATGAACCGCCGCAAGACGATGGATGGACTAGAAGAAGCCGTGGCGGTAGGTTGCTGGCCAAAGAGTGGACGATACGTCAACAGTGTCATCGTTATGCATTGCTTTGTTGTTGAAGAAGTTTGTCGTTTGTCGAAGAAGTTGTTTGTTCGTTGTGTTGAGTGAAACTGGCTCTCTTTCTCTTTCTTTGGCCAAAGCGCAACCGTTTCTTTTCTGCGACAACTTTTTGGCAAGACCACCTCAAAATCGAAAAAGGTGTCAACATCAAAACAAGGTTGTTTCAAAACGGTTTCTCGTGAACTTTGGCAAACGGAAAGCAAAACGGAAACGTCGGCGAAGGTTCGAGATAGTAGTAAAGTCGTGTCGTTGGTTGCTGTCAAAGAGATCACAAAGGGTCTTCTCTTGGCACGATACTGTAGCATTCAGAAGGAACCGTCTGCCTGAGTTGCAATCGAAAAGCAGAGGCATGAAGCTGTGGGGAGTGTCAAGAAGAAAGAATAATCATCTACCGGTTTCGTGAACGGCTGAAGTTAACGGTCAACTCGATCAACTCGGGAGTTTCCCAGCATAATGGAGCCACTGACGTCTCCGTTGTAGAGGATACACCGACCAGTACGATACATTGAAGTGTCATGGTAAGACGGAAGAAGGATAACATGGTTGAAAGTGGAAGAACGAGGACGCGGAGAATTGGAAAGTTAGTTGATCGCTCCAACGGTCTGACCGAGGGAACCCAAATTGTGATTGCGTTGAGCTGTGAGCAACGGTGTGACGGCAGGCTGCTCTTCTCGTAAGTACCATAAAAGTGCCTAGGTCGAATCGTCACTCCCGGCGTCAATCTGGCACGCCCGGCATGCCTGTTTCCCTTTCGTGCAAGAAAGCTTCCACTCAAGCACTCATTATTTTTAAAAAGAAATGCAACCAGCTCGGGTCATTTCTCGCGAGTCGGATTTAGAGTCGTTACAAAATATTTATTGACACATTCTCCAGTGGTTCTCATGGGTCTTAAACAAGAATTATAGACGTTACGAAATGTTTAACACCACAAGATCCCCTTTTCAAGAAACCTCGCACTGGTCCCAATTAACCCCTAAGAATCAACCACCCACTTGCCTTCTCCGCGCTCAATCGTACCTAGAAAGAGATAAGCCCTTACCCTGTCAATTAAGTGGTCACATATTTGTCGCGTTTTATGGTTTACGCTGTACTGTGCGACCAGTCTGCCGATTTGTTTTGGGTTCTGACGTTGAACTACTACTAGCTAGTACTGCGGTGTAGCTGGTGCATCTCTTTTGGCAAACTATAATATTTATCTAATCTCTACCTTCGGCCGTAGGAAGCTATCTCTATCTCATCTATATATACCTTGGCCGACGCACACTCTGTATTCCTACCGTATCTCTAGCTAGCTGGCTAGAGAACCAATCCATTGCCAAGGGCCCTGTGGGCACGGCAACCCTGATGCTTGGAAACTCCACACTTTCCACCCCACGTGCAACCTCCAGCTCCACACCAGCCGCCATGGGCACCGGTATACCATGTGCAAGCTCCACTGTCGTCCACTTTCTGGGTTGTGGTACAATCACCACAGTTGGTCGGTTTGGAGCAGCGAGCTTCATTCGTCTTGTCCGTCTGGTACAACCAACAAATTTGTTGGGAATCGAGTTGCGGAAAGTTGGATGGAGCGTAGCAGCTGGCATCGGCAATGGCAAAGCAATCGGCCTCACAGGCACCGTCAAACCAGGCGCAGTTGGCACTGTCATTCAAACAACTGTTGCAGCTCGTGTTGCTCCTGCAGGGAGAAGCTCTAGTGAGAGCAACGGCGGAGAGGAGGAGAACGATAGTCTTGGTAATGGATTTCATGGTTGTTTGTTTGTTTGTTTTGGATTAGTGTTTGGGGTTTGTTTGCTTGTTTGCTTTTGTTTCGTTTTGTGAGCTTCAGATTGGGGAGGAGAAGATTTTTTTGCCTCGAGTTCTGTTCTAACCAGCTTGAGTCACACTCAGGAGTGGAGCGGACCTCGCTTCTCAATTCATCATTCACGCTTGGTGACTGAAACAGATGGTACAGTGTAGTGGTGGTGTAGATTGAGACGTTTGCCTTGCTGTTCATCGCTTTGCCGTCCTTCATCTGCAAGGTGTGTGTTGGATCAGGCAATCGTTTGAGCTATTGAAGTCGCATCAAGTGTCAACAAAGCAAGATGTCTGTTTTCCGCGTGCCTAAAGTGCCGAAGTTTTGGCTTCGCTCGCTGCACAACCTTGGGCTTCCCAGTGACTAGTCACCTAACAGTAGTTATATCTCTTTTAATTAACTGGTCGGCTCATAAAAACCCTGCAGGGTAATGCTGGGGATTTGTTCTTCGAGGTTGTCAACAGAGAGACAGCCCTTTTGTTTCAACGACATTCCATCAGTGCTTCGTTTCGTTGCTGGAAGTGAAATAGCATCGTACAATGCACTCATCTTCCTCCTAGTAGCTAGTAAAAGACTCCCCGTAACCAATCGTCTCTTCTTGCTTTGATTTTCTGCTACCGTGACGTAATCGTAGCTTTGGCGGCTTCTGGTAAGATCCAAAATCCAAGAAAGAGTGAGCCTCAGAACATTCGGTTGCAGCTTTCTGCGTGTCATAGCAGAGCAAACCCTGGATATATTATAGTATCGACGCGAGACAGAGAAGATGATGAGACTCTGTGGTTACCTCCGCTTAGCAGT